TTTAATATAACAAGGCATCAATGACTAGTCTAACATGTCTATATTCTATACTGACTTTATAAAAAGACAAGTAACAATCCTTTCTACTGTCTACAGAGTTATCTACATAACTTAAATGTAAGCAAATTAACACATCTATGTACCGGGTAAATGTTTTGTTTGATGTATTCTGAGTTTCTGACCCAATATTTTTAAATTTGGGGAGGGGAAGGTAATTTCCTTCATAACTTATATGGTATAAATCTTTATGCTGGATTGCATGCTGCTCAAAAATAAGTTAAAAAGTTTCATATAATATTGAATCGGCCAGGGTGAGTACATCAAACAAACCATTCCCTGTTGACCTACAATATAACTAAAAGGAGCCCAGCAGTCCTAACTGGTCAATATCTTAAATCTTAAGATAATCTAATATATATACCCAGCTGACATGGATAATCAAAATTCTCAACTCGGTGAAAGACTGTCACTGAATCATGTAACAATATCCAGATCATATTTCCAATTATTGGAATCAAAAAATCTATAACAAAACCAGAAATGCCTGAAGATAGTAAAATACAACAGCTTGATTAAACAGTTTTTTAAAATAAAGTTGTCATCTAAAAATAAACAAATAAAAAAATGGAAGTACAATTATACTTCATTCAAAAACATGAAAAATACTTTTGTTCACATAAAATCAGGTCATCTGATCAGAAAAGAATTCAAAATATTCCAACAGTACATACATATTAATACTGTAGAAGTACTTTTTTCCGCATGGTATTAATTTACGCTATGTACACGGTCACAGATAATCCGCGGAAATTTGTTCAAGCGTATTTAATATAAATGTAAGGCATATAGTGACAGTCAAGAAAATCCGCGTAATTTTCTACCTGCGGATTAAATAGAAAATGAGATTCCACGGAATTATGACCCCATGGAAAAAAAGTACGTCTACAGTATTTAAAATCTAGAGGTTGTTATATATAGGTTGACATCACATGATACTTCTTTCTGCAATGTTAAAACATTCAAACAAAATCACACCATTTGTTAACTAATAAAAGTAAAATATTCTAAAAATACTTCAGCTTAAAAATATTTAAAAATCTAAAAACCTTGTATAAAGGTTAACGATACTTAATTCAAAAGTCTTGAAATATCCAATCTACTTCATTTGTTCCTTATACACAATCATAACAAACAAGTATTTCAGAAATACACAAACTTTAAACACTCTTAATACTTAATAAGCTTGTTGTATAGAGGTTAACAAAACAGCGTGCTCATCCACCCACTGTATAAATGCTGGAGATCGCTGTTTGATAATTTTCATCAGAGTGACACAGTCTGTCTCCGCACTGTGGAGATTGACCGGATCTTGTCCAAAGATTCGTCTGTAAATGTCACCAAGTTTGTATGATACCCTCGGAGGAAATCGCGACACAGGAGAAAAACCTGGTTTGAATCCTGATGCTGCATTTTCAGTGGTGGATCTAAAGAGTGAACGACAGGCCATTCCATTAGGGATGGATCTTTTTCCTGGGTCTCCATTAGATGCTTCATTTCTTCCCCTGACTGGAGTATTTAATTGAAATGCTGCTGTCGAGCGCACAAGACCTGTCATAGGGGTCAGGCACTGCTCTTTTTGTGGGGTGATACAGTGTTCTTTCTTGGGGGTAAGGCACGGGCCTTTCTGTGGGGTGGACATGGTAGGGAAGGTTTGGCCGCTGGTGGACGGAGTCTCAGGGGTACACAGCCCCTCACAATTAGCTAACACACTGACAGTCTGTTCCTTAGGAGTTACACAGTCTAAGGGTTTTAATGGACATACAGGAGTCTCGCTGTTTATATTGGTGTGAGATTCTAATTGTGAGTGTTCTATGTTCTCCACAGCCTGTAGAAAATCATCGTCTGGCAGACTCCCCTGAGAAGCAGGAACGGTGTGCTGACTGTCAACATTTCTATGTTCTACTGATGACGGATTGTGATTTTCTTCTTTGTCGGACATTTCTACATCTTTATCTTCATTATCTTCCTCATCATCGTCATCTTCATCAAAACTCAGCCTCTTCTTCACTGACTCAATGTCACATGTATTTCTTTTACTTACAACCTCAGCTGACATTTTCAAGCTTGATCCAATTGGCTTATGTCCTATCAGATCTACTGAATCTTCACTTTTTTCATCGTCTTTTTTTCCTGCAGAGTCAAATAATCTTTTTCGTACAGATTTGGCCTCAATGGGAACTCTGTCAAAGTCTGCATCACATTTGCGTTTTTTCTGTCTCACTCGACCTTTGACATCTATGACCTGCTCCGGCACCTCGGGAATGTTCTGTCCCACAGGTGTGGCAGATGAAGCTCCATTATTGGTATTTTGTGTTGGATCTGACAACATGTCTGCCGCCTCTGTATCCAGAGCACGAAGTGCTTCCAGTGAATCAGCACAGTAAATCTCACCTGGTAGACTACGAGCAATTCTTTTTAGCTCAGCATTCAGAATTTTGAAGTCGTATCCGTTTCCGTTATGAGCCAGCAGACATATAGGCTGAGGAAGTCTTGAAACAAAATGTGAAATAGAAGTGATGGTGTCATCATCAAAGGGAGATTGGGCCTCCAATGCATCATTGTATAAACCTGTTGAGAACAGAACAATTATATCTTTATGATAATTCTCTGTTTAATTATTCGACCTCAATCTATACTGACTCAAGCAAATATACTTTTGTTTTCTTCATAAGTAAAAATTTATATTTCTTTCATTAACATGCATTCTATACATACCAGTAATAATGCTGGCTGCTGGGTCGATCATCTTTTTGGGGTTGATACACATGACCAGCTTGTTACAGACCCGGGGTAAGCCTACAGGGGTCAGGAGCTCCTCCCGCTGGACAGACAGAAGACACAACTCCGTCACCCTCGGCCTGGACCCGGGGTTTATAAGTCCCGTGCATTCCAGGTCTAAAATCACCACGGTGGCGATTTTCTCCCTCGGTAACATCATGATCCACTTTCTAAAAATTAAAAACTTGATTCAATCACAAAATCCCATGTTCCCTCTCTCTTTCTAACTTAAGTCTCTAAGACCTAACAAGATTTGCCATCTGGTGAACATGTCTGGGCACATCTAAAAATTAAATGTCCAGTCATGATTCCCGCGTGTCATTAACACATGATTAATATGCTATCTATGCAGAACTAATCCGCAATGTGGAATCCTAATTAATTAAATATAATAAAGTTAAACATTCATACCTATAATTTTACAATCGACATAACGTAACCTGACACAAAAAAGCGAATGTTGACATTTTTCACCAAAAGTCACGTGATATTTACTAATGTGACGTACAATTAGACAACTCGTTCCAAAGATATTCGACTTCAACTAAAATTTAATAAATAGACTTGATCTATAGGCCTACCCAGAGTGTTATAATTTCGCTTTAGTAGCGAAGCGTAATACGTCCTCTAATGAGAGATTGCATTACACTTTATATCATTAAAGATATTCTATATAAATTCTGTGTGAAAATTTATTTTCTGTGGATGCAACCCTGAGCGGTGTTCCTCCTTGAGTAAAACTACCGTAATTAGAAACGTTTCCAACTTTCTGTGTTTTACCTAAACACTGGCTAAAAATAATAAAAAGACCCCCCCCCCCCAATCCCGCATCTTACTGACCAGAATGGTCTCTATACAGACGTGTTTAATTAATGTTAAGTGTCCCAGCATATGAAAGGCAGTTTAAATACTTTGATATTAATGTATAATGCTATCCATTTGTTTAAAAAGGTAAACCGATTATTCTGTTAACGCAACAGGAGAAAGACGCATGCTGTAACCAGACTAAATGTTAATGAAAAAAAAATGATCGTTTATGAAAGGCAATCCTTGGGCGTCGGAAACAAATTAAGGGGGGGGTGGCTAATTGAAGGGGGGCTAAACCAACAAAAAAAGGCACCCCCCCCCCCAATTTTCAATGCTTATATTATGTCTATCTTTGCGAGAAAAAAAGTGGGGGGCTAAGCCCCCTTAGAACCCCACCCCCACCCCGGTTCCGACGGCTATACAACCACACATAAATATATTTTTAATTTGAATTAAAAAAAAATTAAAAGACTTTTTCTATATTTTTTATCTACAAACTTTATGGATTTGTAGTGACACTATATATTTATAGGTCAACTTATTTATTTAATTCTTATTAATTAACTGAGGCGATATGATAAATCATTCTTTGGGCTTCATTCCCATCAACAAAGTTATAACACTGATACACAGGTACTTGTGGACAGGACCCCCCCCCCCCCCCCGGTCCCCCGATCTTCAACCCCGGAGCTTATTTGACATTTTTTTCACAATTTATATTTAGTACACTTATTCAACATGTTTGCAATATGAACAAATCGTCAAAACTCCAAAATAATCGCTCCTCAAAAAAATACCCCACTATATACATTATAAGAATCTCTCTTATATAATGTATAGTGGGGTATTTTTTAGAATTACAAGTATATGTGTTTCAAATGTATATCTACTATATAATATATATAGTATATTTATAGAAATAGATAGAACGCGAAGGCATGATATGTACACATTTATCAACCTTAACCTTCTTGATATCAGTTAAGTGACAATGGGTGACTCACCCGCTCTCATGAATCATTATTAGGGATGCTTATAAAGTCAGATTTATTTTTATTTCTGTATTCTATGTTCTATGTTCTGATATAAGTAAGCATAATAACAATTATGTTGAGTTCTGACAGAAAGTCAAGTTTGTTTTTAATTAATTAATTAATTAATATCTGAATTCACTTAATTGTATTTGAAAATAAAATAGGTAGCACATATATTTAATTTGATATTTAAAAAATATTTGTATTGTGATTTTTTTTCCGTATATTGTTTCTTCCTTTATCGTACATATATTAAAGTGATCAGTATATTCTAGGCCCTATTTGAAAAGTTTTTTTTTGAAAGAAATAATGCAATTTTTAAGAAATTGCATCGGGATCGAGATTTAATGATTTAGAGAATTTAAAAAGAAAATCATATTACATATAAATCATATAAATCATGAGTGTAATATTATGTATTATATTATTAATTATTCCTTTGAAATAATTCCCAAGTTATGTTTGTATGAATTAAAAAAAATCCTTTTATTTTCGTTGGTGTAAGCGACCTGTCCAAATTTGTTACAATTCAAAATGGCTTCCAGCGAGACGACCGACGAATCTCTCTATCCTATTGCTGTGTTAATAGACGAGCTCAGAAACGAGGATGTCCAGGTATTTTGATAACAGAAACACTTGTTTTTACGATATATATCATCTTCAACTTTTATATGCTAAAGAAATGTCCATCCGGCCTTATTTTGGGCACTGAATTCCTCAGAATTGCTGGTTCAGTGGTTGTCAATACATTGTAGGAATTATACACACTGCTTCAATAAATAATAGATATTGTTACTGTATATTGTATGATTACAAAGTAGTCATTTGTAATGAATAATTTGGAATTGCAATTAAACTTCTTTCTCGACCCAAAATCTCGACGTTGAATGTTTCTCTTTTAAAATGAAGGAAACTGACCAATCCCGTCATGTATATTTTAGTTTTAGTATTATTGCAGGTTTCTGATAAGTATAGCACAATTATGATTACCAAAAGTAATGTAACATTAAGGGGTAGGCTCGGGTCACCCATTCGAGGGTTATACAGGCTCATCATTGCTTAATTTGCCTCAAAAAAGAGGAAGACTTCTCAAGTTCTGCATCAGTAGAAAGGGCTAGCTCTCTAGCCAGACAGCATATACCCTGCCACTACACCCCCCCCCCCTACTCAGGGAAGCTTCAGTCTAAATTACAATGAATCCTCAGGGGTGTGCAATTACCATCGCCCAACGCCCGGGGCTGCCAATTTTAGAGGTCGGGCTATCTTAAATCTATACTGCGTTAGCCCGTCGGGCTAGTAAATCTAAAACGAAAGTAAACATATACCGGTATTTACCTCGACTGAATTGAGGTACGAATTAACATTTCTGTAAAATCATAATCTTTAATTCGTTTTAACCTATATGCATTGTGTGTTCCTATCGCCAGTCGTCTCAGTGACAATTATAGTCGATATAAATAGGGGGAAGTACCTGACAATTACAAAGTGCAAACCATTATTTGTTTTATTTATTTCAACTTAAATGTTTTTTTTTAAACTTTATGTTATACTTATACGTGACGTGTTTTCGGTAGTTAATGGGCTAGTGACTGGCAACCTTGGGCTAGTAACTTTGTTACCCCCACTAGCCCGACGGGCTAGTAATTTATTTTTGTAATTGCACACCCCTGATCCTTTCTGAGTGTCTAGGGCCTCAATTAAAATTACAGCGACCAATGCTGCTCCGGAATACAAAGTCCTAGACCTAGAGCTTCCTGAAGCAGGTTTGGACCTCTTCAGTTATAATAATCCCTGCCATCCACAGCAAGTCTGTAAATGGACAATATGTCCTAGCACTAACGCTGTCTAAAGCAGGTCACCAAAAACCCGAGTCACTACACTGCCACTTGTAACATGAAGCAGTCACCCATCCAACAGTTAAACAGGCTCACCGTTACTTAACTTGCCTTAAATACAGTAAGACTCTACTGCATCACTATAAACATGATAAAACATGGGAAAAGCTAGCTCTAGTGAGGCAGTATAAGATCCCTATTTCATATGTATACTGTCCGCTACAGTAATGGGCATAATGCAAACATGGTAGGTAAGGCTTTATTAGGAAGTTAAAAGAAGTTGTATATGATGAAGAATGATAAACATGATGAATGTTGCAATATCTAACTTCAGAGGACCTTACATTGAGTGTATTTATTTCTGGGCATTACTTGTGCTAGATCGAACAGTCTATCATTGAAATGACAATGTTCTATAGCATGTATAGGTTTGGAAATTATATGATTAATGGGAAAGTCAGCATTTAAGCATTTAGAACTTATATACTGTAAGATATACTTGACTCTGGTTTCAGCTTCGCCTTAACAGTATCAAGAAACTCTCCACAATAGCACTTGCTCTAGGAGTAGAAAGGACCAGGAGTGAACTTATTCCATTCCTCACAGGTAAACAAAATTTTCAAAATTATCAGGTACCCTTTATCATGTTAACTCTACATCATGTACATTTTTTTTTATCCTAAACACTCCTTGAATTTGCATGTTTAGCATGTTTAGACAAAAATCTTTCAACTAGACTTAACAATAACAATCACCTCTCAAAGTGCCCAACATAAAATTGTTAACATTATCTTTGTAAAGTGACTGTAGATGGGAGTTTGTTTCTTCACTGATATTAGACTTGAGATAACACATTTCCTCTCTACATTGAAGATACTATTTATGATGAGGATGAAGTTCTATTAGCGCTGGCAGAACAACTAGGAAACTTTACTCCATTAGTCGGCGGCCCTGAGTATGTCCACTGTCTTCTGGTAAGTGTGAAAAAGAACTTTTATTTACATATAAATTACGATAAAACACAAGTAATATGGATAGGTAGCAAAAAAGGTAGTGATGAGGTTTTATGTAAAAATCAATCTCTTGAGTGGGGAAAGAAAAACTTTAGGTTACTTGGTATTGAATTTGATATAGATTTGCAGAAGATACTTTCGAGGAATCTCAGTTCAAAGTTAGAAAACATAAAGATAATGATAAGACATTGGAAACATAGGAATCTCACACCACTAGGACGATTAACAGTTTTGAAAACACTTTTATTGCCAACATTGAATCATATTTTTGCCTCCCTTCCAAATCCCACTGATTTATATATAAAAGATTTAGAAAACACCTTTTATTCTTTTGTAATGGGGAGTAATGCTTTTAGACTAAAAAAAGGAGTTTGTATTAAAGATCTTAAAGATGGCGGTTTCAAGATGATTAGTATTAAAGAGTTTATTATGTCTCTGAAACTTGTATGGATGAAAAATGTCATACTGCAAGGTAAATATTCATATCTAACTTTAGATTTAAAAAAAAACAGTTTTTTGTGGAGAAGAATACATTCTCAAGAAAATTAAAGATGTAAAAAATATGTTTTGGAAAAATGTTTTAGAAGCCTGGCTATTTTTTTCTAAAAAATTACCAGAACCAGAAGCAAGTGCCTCTATGGAACCACTATTTTTTAATAAAAATATACTGATTGGCAAGAAAACAATTTTTTATAAGAAATGGTTTGAAAATAATGTATTTTTCGTAAATGATCTCTTAAGAGAGGACGGTTCCTTTATGGACATTAATATGTTTAAATT